GGGAAAGAGGAACTCTAAATATTGTCTCTCAATTGCCAAAGAAGAGTCGGGGAGGAGGTTTCATGAAAATGACCTGAACCGGGCTTATTTAGGTGTTTTTGTCAAGCAGGTGGAAGTGGTGCTTAAGCGCCGCGCTAGAGTTCCTAGGCACTGCTCTGCCTATAGTGTGGCTTCTTGGTGCTCAATTTTATTAGCACCTAGGCACCAAATCTACTTCTGGCACTTTAGTGCCAGGGGCACTTGGTGCCTATGTGCCTGGCCCAAATTTGGTTCTGGTTTCTTACTTTATATTTTTTTATCATCCCCAAGTCCTTAATCACATATATTAAGCGCACAAACACTATCTTATGCTAAAGGTAAATGAGGATCACCCATCCCCCTTCTCATCACATCTCCCTTATCTATTTCAAAATTTTCAATGAAATCTCCTTCTATTGACTGTCGGGTGCTTTTTACATTTTTCGGTAAAGAAATTTTGGTCCAGGCATTACCTTTACTATTGGCTTATGTGTTGCCAACCATTAAGTATTATACTGTCTAGAAAATTATACACTTTTGTCAATTCAGTGAAAAGATCATCCACATGCCCCTCTGATAGTTGCTCTACCAACACATCAAGATAGAGAACAAGGTCAAAAATAAAAGATAAAGAATTGAGATAGACCTTTCCTATGCCTAAACTCAACATAGACCAGTAAAGCCAAGTTCTGAGCATGATTTCCAACTAGGGTGTAAAAAACTTGGTTGATCCTGCTACCACAAAATATATAATAAAGTTCAGTCACAACGAGAAGACTAAGAATCTGCTTTCTCTCACCCTAAGCTTCAATATGTCTCCCGCTTCCACAACTTTCCACCCCCTTTGTAAGTGACTTTTTCAGAATAGCTATAGAGTAGTCATCCCCCAATTCTACGTCCTCATATGTATCTATGCATAAACATCTCACCGAGATACCATGGACGGTGCTTCGACTTCATCAATACTTTAAATTGATGGTTAAAAATAGGCTATGTGAAGAGAGGGCCGAACATGATTTTGATAAAGATAATGATGATGAAAAATAGATGAAACAGAGTTTTATTTTATTATTACTTATAATTTTTGGCATTTTTGTTTGGCCAGTATAATTTTGAAAATTGCTGAGTTGGAACATTCAAACTTCATTTAAATTTTCAAAATTCTTTGGCGGAATTTTAACTCCTAGTACATTTCCACATTTATGAAAATTCAGATGAAGATATCCCCCCCTATTTAATATTGACAATTACAAATGCCTCGGAGAAATGATAAAATCTTTAAAGGTTGATGACAGTGCAGATGTTGATAAATATATTGAAATCAGAAAAATGAATACCCAAATATAAAATTTTAAAAATATATGAAATAACCAAAGGCCAAAATAATATTCCTTATATATAACATCTCATTTAATATGGATATTGCCACCTATTAAATAATATAGTAAAGCTGCTATCAATGCAACCCACATTAGCCTCTTAGTTGAGAGCTGACGCTTCAGACTTTCAACCAAGAAATTTTGGCCATATCATAAATTTCTGAGATTAAATTCGCTCAAAAATTCAAAAAAAAAAAAAAAAAAAAGAAAAAAATAGAAATCACCCAGTACATATCATAAATTTCTGCTGTTATTTCCTCTTTTTGTTCCCTCTCCTGCTTTCAAGCCGTTGCAGCGCCCTTTCAAACTCTTCCTCTGTTGGTTCTGGTTCTACGTGCCCACCATACTCGGCCATAACTGATGAGAGGAAGGAGCTGAATTGCTCTTTTCTTTGGTTCCTACGCTGAGTAATGACAGCAACTAAATCCAGATTTGACTGCCTGTTTGACCTAGCAGGATTATGATAATATCATAGCTTTTCCAGAAATGAAATAATGAGACTTTTAATTTTAATTCAGATCAATAGAACTCACTGTCTCTTTTTCACTAGAGGATCTGTAGGCGGTTTAGTTTCAGAAATCTGCTTTGACCATTTCTGATATGCTTTAGTTGGCTTCAGTTCCCCTACAATCCAAAAGTGCGTACACTAATTACATACTAAGCAATTAGCTTTTCTTTTACTCCGAGTTTGGGACAAATGAATAATGATAAGCTGCAACTTGTGATAAAGAAAAGAACCTTCCGCGATTGCCTCGTCAATTATATGTTTGAATCGGTGAGAGTCGAGCTTTGGATCGGAGCAAAGCATTGAACAGAAAAGCCTGAGAAGAAGTGATGTGATTCACTATCGACTACCAAATGAAAATTAGCAATGGGAAAGGAGCCGCAAAGAAATGAATGGATCTCTGTTTGAGTTCAATTCTTCAATTTTTTTTTATGGTTCATTTTTTTGTTTGCGTTTGAAAATATTTAATGGTTTCCGTTGGCATTCAGTTTGCTATTATTTTACTTGTTCGTAGACACATAAAAGTATCAATCAAACCAAGGATGGCAACATTTGCATTAATTTCACAGAAGAATAAATACATATTTAATATTTGATAAAATATGCCTCAATGAGCTTTTAAAAAGCCAAGCACAGACGAACAAAATTTGTCTGTTTTTAGTTACTTGTTTTTGTCTTTTGGTCAAGGAATGTATTCATGGCTGGCATATTAGTCAATAACTGAGCCAAAAAAGAGCTGCTTAATAAGCCAGACAAGTTGATCACAAACACCAAGTTGGATGGACACACGTAACTGGAAGCAGGTTGAAGGAATATAGAAAATTCTGAGTTAAAATACCTGTTCATATTTCCCTTATATTTTGAAAAAAGCTCCTCTAGATCCTTCTTCTCGGAATCAGATCCTCTGTAATTCGCTTCAAATTCTTCAATGTCAGCTTCTGTTACCTACAATAGATAAAAACCTGAGTTATTTTATGAGAGAAAGAAATATTGTTAATATATACTTCAGCAAACCAACATGGTATGGTACCTTTTTGTACATTGTCCTGAAAAAACTCCAGATATTATTGGCACCTTCTCCACAAAGAGCCTGCAAAAATGAACGAGGAAACAAAATTCAAAGCCTGACAAGTATTCAACAATTAAATTCAAAAGGGAAATTTACATACAAATCACACAATCCTAATCGATTTACATACCTAACACCTAAATTTTGATAGATATATTTATAACACCTTGGTGCTATAAAACTCGGCATAAAAAAGTGCATGACTTTTAAAAAGTTAGAAAAAGTGATATTTTTGATATGATGTGAGGTGTTAGATATGTAAACACTTAAGATTTGTGTGATATGTATGTAAATGCATCACCCAAACAAAGAACATTCTTATACATCATCATCAACAGAACCAGTCTGATCATAAAACGCCCTTTTCTCCTCATCCCCAAGAACTGACATAACCTTTTGCAATAGCTGAAACTTTTCTTTGGCTTCCTGGAGAGAGAGAGTAAGATTCAGTTGGATAATTTTATTAAGTAATATTATATTGAAATAAGAAAGAACGAAAAAAGCTAGCCCAACCTCATCATCAGAGTTTTTATCTGGATGAAGACGCAAGGCTAACTTGTAGTAAGCTTTCTTTATTTCCTGCTGGGATGCTGTCTTTTCAACCCCAAGAATCTACGAGGAAGCGGCTGTTAGTATATATAATTAATTTGCAAGGTAACCGCAAAAAAGTTCACAGCCTCCAAGGCTAACGATTTGTTCCTATTTATCACAAACAAGATAAACAAAAATCATAAAAAGCACTTTAAGTACAAAACAAATTAAATCTAAAGAAGGGACCGCATCATCATCTTAGAGTCATCTTTTCAGGACCTATTTTATTAGAGCAAATTGCAAATAAAGCAAAGCAGAGATTGGCCATAAACTGGCCTTCTAGATAAAAATAAAATAAAATAAAAAAAGTGCAAATTAGCACCACTTGAGGAAAGTATTGAATGCACTAACATCTCTCATCATTTACTAAATTTAGAAGTCTAAAATATTTTATACAAATGGTGAATGCACGAAAAAAATCATGACATGAATCCTTTTGATCATTGTGTAAGTGCTAGGGCGTCCCCTGGAAGCGACGCGTTGTATAGCCTGAATACAGTGAAAAGTGTGCAAGGGTTACTACACCGGCGCCCGGGTGTAGTGTTAATAAACAAGGGTTCCCACATTACGGGTGAATGCGGGTAAAAAAGTTAGTCCATGAAACTAATATTAGGATAGGATCTTAGAATATAGGTACTCTCATTGGTAAATTAATGGAATTAATTAATATTATGATTCATAGGAAAATTAATATCTTATGTATTCAAGAAACTAAGTGGGTTGAAGAAAAGACTAAGGAGATTGATAATTTAGGCTTTAAACTTTGGTATTCCGGTAAGAGTCACACTTTAAATAGTGTATGTGTAATTATAGATAAGAGTTTGAAAGATAATGTTGTAAAAATTAATAGAGTTGGAGATAGAATTATAGCCTTTAAGATTATCATTAATACTAAGATTTTTAATATTATAAGTGCTTATGCTCCTCAAGTAGGTTTAGATACAGGGTCTAAAGATAAATTTTGGAATGATTTATAAGACTTAATACAAATGATACCTCTTGAAGAAAGAATTTTTATTGGGGGAGATTTAAAAAGACATGTCGGTACAGTGGTAGAAGACTTCAGAAAATACTCATGGTGGCTATGATTTTGGAATAACTAATGAAGAAGGTAGTGTTATTTTAGATTTTGCTTTAGCATATGATTTTGTTATTACCAATACTTTATTCAAGAAAAGAGATGAGCATCTTATTACTTATAAGAGTGGATCTAATAAAACACAAATTGATTATTTTCTTATGAGAAGAAGAGATCGTCGAGATTGTAAAAATTGTAAGGTCATTTCAAGCGAGAATTTAAGTACCCAACATCGTTTATTAGTTCTAGATTTTAAGATGACGAGTTGTAAAATAAAAAATACTAGGACTTATCATCGTGGAATTAGATGGGGGAACCTAAAAAAATAAATAAATTTTTTTTTATGAGTAAAATTTAAGATTTCACGATATTCATGAAGAAGCAAATACTATGTAGGATAAAGTAACAAATACTATTAAACAAGTAGTAAAAGATGTGCTTGGAGAATCAAAATAAAAAGTTTTTATAAATAAAAATAGTTGGTGGTAGAATAATAATGTGCAAGAAAACATAAAATATAAGAAGTTATGTTAAAAAAATTGGTTTAAATGTAAAATCTTAGAGAATTGTCAAAAATATCAATCGGTCTGCAGGGAGTCTAAAAGAAAAATCTGTGACGCTAAAAATTTTATTTTTAATGATTTTTATAATAGATTAGATATTAGGGAGGGTGAAAAATATATATATATATAAACTAGCCGAACAAAGAGAAAATAAAAGTAAAGATTTAACTCAAGTGAAGTGTATTAAAGATGAAAATCAAAAAGTACTTTTCTTAGAAAAAGATATTCAACATAGGTGGGTGAGTTACTTCGATAAACTTTTTAATAAGTTTCTGAAAATACGATCGACCATAGTGATCTTAATATCGTGAATAATAATAAAACGTTTCATTTTTACTGTCGCATTAGTAAAAAAGAAGTCGATGAGGCTTTAAAGAAAACCAAGGGTGGAAAGTCTGTATGACCTGATGATATCCCAATTGAAGTGTGGAAATATTTGGGAGATATGAGAGTTTCTTGGCTTACTAACCTCTTTAATATTATTTTAAAAACTAATAAAATGTCTGAGGAGTGGAGAAAGAGTACTTTGGTCCCCATTTTTATAAATAAAGGGGATGCACAAGAGTGTGCAAATTATGGAGGAATTAAGTTGATGTGTCATACTTTAAAGTTATGGGAGAGGGTGATTGAACATAGGTTAAGATGCATCACAAAGATTTCTCATAATCAATTTGGATTTATGTTGGGCAGGTCTACTATGGAAGCTATTCATTTATTGGGAGGTTTAATGGAGAAGTTCAAAGATAATAAGGAGAATCTACATTTGATTTTTATTGATTTAGAAAAAGCTTACGATAAGGTTCCAAGAGATATCCTTTAGAGAGTTCTTGAGAATAAAGGTGTTGAAATAACCTATATTCAAGTCAGTAAAGATATGTATACTAGAGTTGTTACTTGTGTTCAAACTGAAGGAGGATTGACCAAATAATTTCCTATTTCTATTGGATTACATCAGGGATCGGCTTTAAGCTCATATCTTTTTGCTTTAGTTATGGATGGGCTTACTGGACATCTACAGGAGGATGTACCTTGGTGTTGGAGGTCTACATTGGAGTCTAAAGGCCTTCATTTAAGTAGAACTAAAATTGAATACATGGAATGTAATTTTAGTAGTAATAGCTCTAGCGACAGAAGTGTGACTTTGGGTGATCAAATTATTAAAAGGTGTGAACGATTTAGATATCTTGGGTTTGTTGTTAAAAGCGATGGTGATATAGATGGGGATGTTAATAGTAGAATTCAAGTTGGTTGGTTGAAGTGGAGGAATGTTTCGGGCCTTTTGTGTGATAGAAAAGTACCGCTTAGACTGAAAGAAAATTTTATAAGACGGTGGTGAGACCTGCAATGTTATATGGCGCTGAATGTTGGCCTTTAAAAGAGAATCATAATAATAAGTTAAGTGTTGCCGAGATGAGAATGATTAAGTGGATGAGTGGCTTTACACTTAGAGACAAAATGCGAAATGAATATATATCCGTGATAGGGTTGGTGTAGCTCATGTGACAGACAAACTTAGAGAAAGTCGTCTTAGATGGTTTGGTCACATTAAACGTCGACCATCTGATGATCCGATTAGGAGAGTAGATGTTTTAGATTTGACTTGTGTTAAGAAAGGCAGAGGTAGAATTAGGAAGACTTGGGCTTATTATATTAAAAATGATCTTAATTTACTAGAACTAAATAAAAATGACACTAAATAGGACGCAATGGAGAAAAAGGATTCATGTAGCCGACCACACGTAGTGGGATTAAGGCTTTGTTGTTGTTGTTGGTGGTGGTGGTGGTGGTGAATGCATGAAAAAGAAGTCTCTTCGTATGAGATTCTGGGTCACTTGGGAATCAGAAAAGGGTTGGAGAGTGCACTTGATTTGTGCACAATGATTATGATTTTATTTGATAATAGATCATATCCTCTCTCCTCTCTCATGAGCTTAGACTTACTTTTGTTTGAAGAGGCCTCATGTTTAATAAAAAAGAGTTTAAGAACTTACGTGCAGGCAAATGTACTTTCTATTTCAAGTGTTGGTATACATACAAGCATTATACAGTTATAAGAGTGATAAAAGGGGTAAAAGGTGGCAATGAACAAAGATATGCTAAGGGTGAGAATCTCGACCATAGGAGAATATATGAAAGTCAAGCCTAGATATGTAGGGAGATAGAGGATACAAAGCATGAATTATGAAAAAAGAAAAAAAAGTGACCAAAAAGATAATTACATTTTTCATTCATGACTAAAAATAAAATATAAATATTATTTAATGGATAACTTAGCAAAGTTCCCATCTCCATCAAGCCCTACCTTCTATGCAATGCAAAATCATCTAGATGATTCCAAACTGAAATATTTTCTAATAAAATAATACTGCATATTTATAGTTATTCATTAACAATTACATGAATAAAATAAATCAATGATATTACATGTGTGAGTCCTAAATTTGAAATTTTAAATATTTCAGTCCTATTTTCACCGGTGCAACTTTTCCAAAGCTTATGCCTTGATCAAAGAGAAAGAAGAGTGATGTTGTTCTTCCTTAATTTATGCTTAGATCCAACGGAAAATAGTCACCAAATTTGAATATTCTCTAAATGAAATTTAAAGTTTCTTACATTAGGGTTTTGTACAATGTTTTCAAAGCACAAAGCAAAATGTGATGCACAAATATTTCATTTTCGATTCAATGCACAAATCAAAAAAAAAAAAACAGTGCTTTTATGCACTAAAGCGTTCATAACTTTTTAAAATTTATAGATAAAATGATACCTTAAATAACAACTATAGAATATAGAGTATTTATTTGATGACTTAAAACTTGAATTATAATAGCCAAGAAATGTAGAATATATATACATAACTTAATGAAAAAATTCAATAATGAAACAGCAAATTAAAATAATTAGTAATTTTTATTATGCATAGGAATTACCAAATGATTACAATAATTAAGATTTGTGTGGTAGTTTGCTATATCAAATTGAAACTTCAAAATTACATGAAAACACTTTTAATTCTTAAGAAAATGCTAAATTTAAATACATAAAATCTCAAGTTTCAAAAAGCAAGTTAAAGAGAAGTCATTAATCACCATCCTCTTTTTCAATTATATAATCACTCTCCTTGTCAAATAAACATTTTTATCTTCAAAGTCTTCTTCTTCTTCTTCTTTATCTTCTTGTTGTGATGAAGCTTGTAGGCTCAATCAAGAATAAGAAGCTTGTGAGATCGATTTTGTTGTTGTTATTGGATAGATAACTTAAACCTTTATATATACATTTTGAAAAGGAAAAAAGTAAACCGGCTAGGAATGAGTTCGAGGGGCACCACAGCGCTTAATACTGAAGCATGCTTCAAGAAAGGACGTGAGTGCTTGACTACA